AAAAAAAAAAAAAAAAAAAAAAAAAAAAAACAATCAATTGTATTTCTGTTTATCAGAAACAACTCTCTCCATGGTTGGCTTTGAGAAAGCAAGGTGCCATGTTGGGAAAGTCCTTATAGGAAGAAACTGAGGGTCACCTCTGGCTGGTAGCCACCAAGAAACTCAGGCCCTCGCTGATGGCCCACAAGGGAGTGAATGCTGCCTGCAACCGTGTGAGCCTAGAAGCAGATCCTTCCCCAGTCAAGCTTCAGATGAGATGAGAGCCACAGCCAACACCTTCACTGCAACCTTGTGAGTGTCTGAAGCATAGCAGCCATCCAAGCCATGCCCAGACTCCTGGCATACAGAAATGGTGAGGTAACAATTGTGCATTGTTTTAAACCACAAAGCTTAAAATAATTTGTTATTTAACAATAGAAAGCTAACACAGTATGTGTTCCATATGACGGAAAACTGGAGAACTACTAGAAAATCTATACAAGGAGCACCTTGACCAACCAAACGTCACCCCTGTATGTCTACTGAACATTGGACGTTTATTGTCTGGCATTACTGGACCAAAAGGAGGCTGAATTCAGGGTAGGAGTATCTAGGCAAGGCTAAGGGAAGAAGTGCTTTATTAAAGACTCAGGAATTAATTGAAATTCTGAAAACCAGAGAGATGCTTTGACCAATCTGCTAATCAACCTCAAAATCCCTGACAATCAGGCTTCAGGCACCCAGGAAGATAAACAAAACAAAAAAAAAAACTGACCTGCTTAATAATAGAGTTCTACAAATATTGAGGCTAAGAGGAAATAGTTAACCTCTGCCTGAACATCCAGTGATGTCCACTGGTCCCAGACACAGAAATTCCCGTTGCTTATTTAATACTCATTCTTGCTCACTGTTAGAGAACTAAGGGCTACTAGATATTTAGAGCCTCCAGTATAAGTAGAGATCAGGCCAGGACCAGTGGCTCACACCCAAATTCCAGCACTTTGGAGGCCAAGGCGGGAGGATTACTTGAGACCAGGAGTTCAAGATCAGCCTGGCCAACATGGTGAAACCTCATTTCCACTAAACATACAAAGAAATTAGCTGGGTGTGGTGTCAGGTGCCTGTAATCACAGCTACTCGGGAGGCTGAGGCAAGAGAATCACTTGCACCTGGGAGGCAGAGGTTGCGGTGAGCCAGGATCACGCCACTGCACTCCAGCCTGAGCGACAGAGCAAGACTCTGTGTCAAAAAAAAATGTAGAGATCAAAACAAGCACATGTAAGATGAAGTTCAAATTAGAACTGATGGTAAAAGGAAAAGAAAGATTTAAAATATTCTTATAATTCACAATCTCAGGAGTGGAGAGAGAAAACACCATATCAAACAAAAAGAGTAAACTATATATAAAAAAAGAACATTTCACAACAAGGAATAGTTCTTGAAAATTAAAGTTATAACAAAATAAATTGAGAAAAACAAATTCTATGAAATGGGTGGAGGGAAAACTTGAGAACTTTCCTAGATAATAAAATCTAAAGAGGAAGAGATGAAAGAAAAAGTATAATGATAGAACATCAACCCAAGAGCACTAATATTTCACTAAAATGCCAGAAAAAGACATAAAGATAGGAGGAAAAATTAGGAAGTAAGTATAAAAAACTTTTCTCAGAAGCTAAGGGTGTAAGCTTCCTGTTTAAAGCTTCACATTGCATGCCCAGTGGAAAGGATAAAAATAGACTTACAAGACACCTCACTGCAGAATTTCAGAATTCTAAGAATAAATTCAAGATCCTGAATGTCTCCAAATAGAAAAATTAGGCTTCAGACACAGGATCAGAAATGAAAATTGTATTTTTTTTAAACCATTATGTCACCTGGCAGAAAGTGCAACTAAAATTCAGAGGAAATTTGATTACGGATCTAAACTTCTATATCCAGTCCAACTATTGTACTTCAACTACATAAGGACAATAACTCTCTCCAGCCAAATTACTGAAAATTTTTCTCCTCTTTTTCTCTCTCCCATTTATCTTGTCTTCATTAACAAAACTCTTTTGAGCAAATTTGTGTGCTTACTGAGTTTTGACATCATTTCCTAGGGAACGCTGGTCCCTCCACTTTTGTGTAAACCTCCATTTTTTTCATCTACACTTGAAGTTAATGATTTCTTTTAAGCTAATATTTTATTCTTTATTTTAGAACATACTTCCTCGTTTTGTAATTGCACAACTTCCTTTTTCTTAGCCTTCCCCAAAATGCCATTAATTATTTATTAACTGTCTGTTCTGCATCTTTGAACTTTTAATGCTATTAACCCTTAATCTCTTATTGTGCTGTCATCAGTGATCACCAGGGCCATTCAGAAAGATCAGACCTTGGTATCAGGAATAAACTATCCCTGAAGAGGAGGTGAGATTAGCCCATACCTAACAAAAATTAAAAACAGGTTTCAAAAGCATTAAACTTATCTCCAGGTAAGGTAAATTAATTGGTAAGGTAAATTAAAATTAAAATTTAAATGTGTATTGATGGATCACAAGTAATATCCAAATCTGCCTTAGACACAGACACATAATTTTGACACCCTGGGGTGAAGATAAATGTAATAATTGCATAGAAGTATATTTCTCTTAATGGAGGGGCTTTAATCGTCTTTAAATGAAGACAACCAACATAACATGCTTTAAACAAAGACCACGAAATCAAGGCATCTGTAAACATAAATCAAAATATCCAGCATCTAATAAGGAATTATTCAACATGCCTAGAAGCAGAAAATATAAACAATAACAAATAACTGTGTAAATTTAAAATATATTTGCCATGAAGTGACAGAAATGGAGAAACAAGCATACAAAGATGTTAAAACAGTTTCATAATTGCATTTAGGTATTGACTATGTAAGCACATTCTTCTACCACTACTGAAAATGTATACATAAATAAACATGAAGCCCCTCTATTAAGAGAAATATACTTCTATGCAATTATTGCCTTTATCTTTACCTCCAGGATCTCAAAATTATGCGCCTGTGTCTAAGTCAGATTTGGATATGATTTGTGGTCCACCAATACACATTTAAATTTTAATTTAAGCATTTCTAACGCAGAGGGAAAATATAATAGGATCACCTTTGTTTAAAAATGTAACACACATAAAAGAACTGGGTAAAAACAAACTTTCATCATTTTAAATTCATTGACTAAGTCTTCACACTGTACATAACAAGCATTCATTGCCCTGATGCTGAAAAACCAGTCCTTGATAACCCAACTTGGGGATGATATTGGTGAAAATGATGAAGTAGATTTGCTCTCACCTCTTCCATTCAACACCGTGCTGGAGTTTCTTGCCAAGGCAATGAAATAAGAAATAGAGAAAACAGACTCAGATAGTAAAGGAAGAAGTGAAACTATCTTTATTTGCAGATAGCATGATATTACATATGACGTCATCCTAAAACATTCACAAAAACACTAAAAATTAGAGATAACAAACAAGTTCAGCAAGACAATAGGATACAAATCAATATAAATAATAGTGCTTTTACACACTGGCAATAAACAATCCAAAAATGAAATTTTAGAAAATCTCAGCTTAAAATTACATCAAAAATAATTTTAATAATGGAAGTTTAATAACAGAAGTGTAAGAGTTATACTCTGAGCAATGCAAACTGTCTTTGAAATAAATTAAGGATTATCTAAATAAAAAAGAGATTATGAATTGAAAAAATTCATATTACTTAGTTTACAATATTTCCAAAATTGATCTGCCGAATCCCAGATGACTTTTTTTTGGCAGAAATGGACATGCTTATCGTAATTTTTTAACACTCTTCATGCTAGTATTTTTTTTATACTTTTATATGACTAGACCATTAGTCATATTTTTATATGAATAAAAGTCTACTTTTTAGTGAAAAATGATTTTTCTCCTTCTGGAAAACTATCATAGTCTAATTATAACATTCAGCATAGCATAACTGATTTGGTGATTCAACACATAATTGCTGAGTGACTGTTGTGTTTCATACAAAACTAAGTGATGAAAATAAAAAATAATAGAATTTGATTCTTACCCTCAAAGTCTAGAGAGCATAACTGAATTATGGCATGGACTTAGAACTCAGTTATCACTCTTAAAATGTACTGTTTATGCAGCCACCTGCAGCTAATAAACTCTAAAAGTCAGGTTTTCATGTATAAAATGGAGATCAAAGTGTAGTAGATATTATCTAGTCACATACAAAGTGTTAGAACAACCCAGAAAAGAGAGAGTGTCATGGCAGTCTTAAGAGACAGAGGTCAGTGCTCAAACCCCATGCAGGGATCCCTAAATGCTGTAAAGCCAGCATCTGCCTTCTAGCTATTCAATTAACGTAAGTTAAATTTCTTGGATAAGGGATAGAGATGAGGTGACTGCAGTTTAGATTAACTCTGTAGAATGCACTTGCATGGGTATTGAGAAAACCACTTTTTACATATGCAGATTTCCAGTTAATTTACTGGTCATAAGCTAATGGATCCTACCATTTTTCATATCTGAGATTTCTGAGTCCTATGTCCTACGATGGTTTCACAGGTGGCTAGGTTCTCCTCCATTATTTCCTCTTGTATGGTTTCAGCTGCATTTTTCTCTGATTTTATTATATCAATGATCACATCTCCATCTACTCTCCATTTTCCAGGAATTAGTTGAAAATTTTCATCAACTGATAGAACCCTGAGCCTCTGTGTGTTATTGTTTTAGACTTAAAATTTTTATTCACTCAATAGAATTTTGGTGTAATTTTAAAAGAAACAGGAGACAAAAATCTATGTTTGCTATGTTGTATTCAATAGTGTTTCTGTACAACCTCAGTTTAAAATTAGGGTTTTTTTTTCTTTTATGCCATTGTCTTGAATTATTTTAACATAGACTTACTTCTGTTTCTTAAATATATATTTTTTAGTTCAGAAGTCCTCTGCATAATTCACGTTTTACCTCAGCTTAATGTTAGTATTATAAATCATGTAAGAAAGGAAATACCTGTCAGAATTTTTAAAGTATTATCTAGATAATACAATGCATTTTGAGAGAAGGATAAAAGACACAGTACCCCTTTCTGTATTGTTCATAATAAAATTCCTTCATTTTCTTGTTCTGTTTTCCAAATAGCTATTGCACTTTGGAGAAGATGCTGGAAACTCACAGAGTTTCGGCCAGAGAATGTATGCCTGAACTGAAAGAGAAAGTGGAAGTAGCTTTTTAGAAGAAAATGGTGAGATATCGTCTGTGGGATTAATAAAAGTTAAAAGCATCTCAAATTTAGGCAGAAAACTAAAGAATGAGAAACTATTGTATGGTTAGTTATTTCTTCCATATTATACACGTATTCAAGAAATCTGTTACCTTGATTAATAAGACTGAGCACATTGGTTTTGTCATTTATTCATGGAGGAAGTCCACCACCCACTTGGGGAGCAGAAGGAAATCTGCCATCTCAATTTACTTAACTTACCAGAAGTTTCTTTGCAGAAATATGATTGTCCCTTCAGTGGAACATCACTTGTGGTCTTCTCTCTCTTTTTGCATGTAGTCTGTGCTGTCATCAAAACTGTTAGGACTTACCCATTAGAACGCCCATCTCCTCTTCAGGGATCTGGTAAGCCATGTTTAGGGTGCCTTTTAGAATTAAGATCTTACTAGTAACAACCTCTAGTAATTACTATAACCTAGTAATAACCTTTATTTCTACCCTGTGTCTCTATTTGTCATACTGAAAATAGGAGACTGGATTCAAAGCAAAATTCATTGAATTTTAAGAATAAGAGTGAATGTTTTTTAATGAAGCAAAATGTCTGTTCATAAAATTAATTGTAACTCTGATTTTAATATGGAGAACTTTGCCTCTGTTTTCATAGCTTTCCTATTGCTTGTTTTCTCATAATGAATGCCTATTTACACAACAGCTTCTAGTCACCCCTTTCTGCTTTACAGCTTGGCTTACCCTCAATGAAGTCTATTTTTTAACATAATATGATAAATTCATCTATAGCAAGGGAAATACCTGTGGCAATTTACTCATATTGTTATTTATTCTTTTACAATATAAATAGTATAAAAATGTTAAACTAACTTAAGAAAACACAAAATGTTAGATTTAATTTTATAAAGTCTAGAATATTTCTGGAATCGGAGGAGATAGCCTATGCCTAAACTTAATGTGGTGCCTTCATCACAAAACCCCCTCAAAAATTATAGATGTTCATAGTCTGTGTACTTTCTATTCCCTGAAGTATTAGGGAACTTTCTGTGTCAGTTACACTTCCATTCTCCGCTCTCATGTAAGAATTTTTATATCATAAAGTTTATATGTGTTTTAACTAATTTAACGTTTCTTCTTTGCACTTGCCCTTGTAGAATGAATCTGATATTTTGTTTGTCTGTATTTCAAAGGAAAGTATGTCTTCTTTATATTTTCAAAAGCTTGCAGTTATCAAATGAATCTAGTGTGCGTTCTTTTCTAGTTGCAAAAGCACCTGGTTTCTTATTTTAAACCGTACCTTTCTATTTTACCCAGTGATGCTAACCTCCTTTCTTTTCTTCCAGCTTACGCATTTTCATTTTCTATGAGATAGTGAAACATAATCTGAAAAATAGCATGGGCTAGAACTGCACTCACATTCCCCTGTGCTTCAAAAATGTTATGCAGTTAGTTTATTTTCCTAGAGGTTGTTTTACTCAGTTTAAGCGACAAAACCAATATTTTTGATTCTGCATTCCAGGGTTTAATTGCCTTTCTGTTTATGGTTTTAGGCGTTGGTTTTAACTTCTATAAATAAAACCTTATTCCTTTCCCAGTTTAGGGATTTGGGGACAACATCGTTTAATGCTATCCCGTTCAGTCTTTCAATGTTAAAAAGGAGAAAACATAACTATATGAAGAATAAATTACCTACCTATAATCATGCTTATGACCAGAAGTCAAATATATTGTTCTTGTGCTATGTATGTGTGGTGGTAGATAAATACAACTTCTGTTCTCATGTGTCACATCATTGTAGAGGAAAGGAGCTGTTGCATAGATTTGGTTTTTGTGTCTTATATATAAAGTCCTACACAATTGTTCCTGATCTCTTCTAACTTCCTACCTTTCACTAATTTTACTCTGGATATTGTCCTTCTCTTCGCTCCTAAAGGTTAACATATTCCTTATCGTTTCAGAGCTGGTATAATGCTGAATCTTTCTACCTAATCTATTAATCTTTGTGTTTCTAGCACCTCACACAGTACTAAGTATAGAGCAGGCAATGAACAGATGCTTGATAAATAAAATAATTTATAAATGGATGAATAAATAAATGAATCTCTTTAGACGATGAATATATGCGTGTGTGTGTGTGTGTGTTCATTGGTTCTCCAAGATATAAACAATAGAAGAATGTCACCAGGAAGCTTAGCAGGACACCAGTGAGTGGGTACACTTGAACTGAGAATATCTCAGAAATTTATGCTTAGCTTAAATCTTACTTCAGAGGCCTAAAAGAATGATCAATATCTTTTATGTTAGTCTTTTTTATGAAATCTGAAATTTTATTCTCCTAAATTCAGGGGTCCATAATTTTAGTTCTTCATATTAGCAACATGTGTAGTGGCCAAGCACAATGACTCACGTCTGTAATTCCAACACTTTGGGATGCTGAGGCAGGAGGATCACTTGAGTGCATGAATTTGGAACCAGCCTGGGCAACACAGGGAGACCTCATGCCTACAAATAATTCAGAAAACCAGAATGGTGACACATGCCCTGTAGTCACAGCTACTCAGGAGGCTGAGGCGGTAAGATTGTTTGAACCTGGGAAGTGGAGACTGCAGTGAGCCTTGATCATTCCACTGCATTCCAGCCTGGGCAACAGAACTAAAGCCTGTCAAAAATGAAAGAAAGAAGGAAAGAAGAAAGAAAGAAAAGCAAGAAAGCAAGAAAGAAAGAAAGAAAGAAGGAAAGAGAGAAAGAAAGAAAGAGAGAGAG